GTACTTATTCGCCTTTGTTTGGACTCTTCTCGGTTTTGCTTGGTCTGTTGGGTACCCGACCTCGCTTCGGCCAATTACCTGCGCTCCCCACATAGCAGATTGCTGATACACAGCATAGAACCTCCAAATTGGAGCAAACATCCGCCTTGACCTGAAAACTGCTACTTGTACTCCTTTCTGCCTGGGTCCATTGTCATAATTCTCCGATACTATCTTCCGATCTGGAAATTCACCTTCAGTTTGGTATTCACACATCTTGTCACCTGCTTGCGTTTTCAAGTCAACACGGCGGATCGATTTTCTCCTCAAGAGATGACATACAACAACATGTCTCTTCACCATCCCCATTTCTTCGACAACATCAACTCAGATGATCAGTTCGGTGACGACTTTCCCAGCATGGACTGGAACATGAACATTGACCCATCTCTGGACAGCTTCTCTTTCCAGAACCATCCTCAATCACAACCTCCGATATCTTTCCAAGTACAACAACAGGTCCAGCAACAGCGTGTCCCAGAGAAACAACACCATCAACAAATGCAACATCCTACAATGCAGCGCTTTGTCAATGAGCAACAACGCCAGTTCTTTACGGCCCCCAATATTCCTCAGGACATCCTCAATCTACAACATACTTCCATCCCTACGTCGTCCCTTCCGAGAGCTTCCCACAACAGAATGACATCACCTGGTCTCACTTCCAGCAATGATAGCGTAGAAAGCCCTCCTGCTGAGCAGGAGCTCTATGCTGAGAATGGATACTGCGCAAACGGAATGGAAAACCAGTTCTACAGACAGTCATTCCCCGATTTCCGAGGTGGACCAGCAAGTTACCAGGCATATGCTCTTCCCCCACAACACGGCTTCTCTTGTGTCAGTATGGACCAAGTTCAAGGCTTCGTCGATGCAGACGATGGCTATTTCGAGCATGAGGAGGACTTTCGAGAGGTAGCCATGAAAAGCGAGTACGCGGTTGACAACCAAATCACCATGAAAACCTCTGGTTCATCCCAAGGTTATCGCTATGCCTCTGACGAAGGCATCGGCGACTGCATCAATGACGAAGCCTCTCCGAAGAACACAATCCACGTCGATGACAGCCACGTATCCGACATCGACGCCGAGGCAGACATGTCTGACATCGACGCAGAACCCGAAAACATCCCCGCCACCCCCGCCTCAGATACCGAATACACCCCAAAGTCAACACGAACCCGCAAGCGGCGCCCAGTATCACCCAACACGAAGACTTCGCCCTCCCAAAAACGCAGTCGCGTCTCCAAGACTCCTCCGAAGACCAAAGGCCAATTCGCATGCAAGTCATGCTCACATGCTCCCTTCAAAGACGCCGGTTCTCTCCAGCGCCATATCGCATCCGCACATACCCGTGCCTACGTCTGCGTCTTCGATTTCGCGGGATGTACATCCACGTTTGCCAGCAAGAATGAGTGGAAGCGCCATGCCAGCAGCCAGCACCTAAACCTCTTAGTCTGGGTCTGCGAGTTAGGAGGTTGTGGAGGCCATCACTCTAAAGCTGGACACTCCATTCCAAACACCAAGTCTAGCCATAGCAATGGAGCAGCGGCAATCACCCGCGGCAGTGAGTTCAACCGCAAAGACCTCTTCACGCAACACCTCCGTCGGATGCACGTCCCCTTACCTGTCAAGCGCAAGAAAGCCGGCACCGACGCTGTCTGGGAAGAAACCATCAAATCTCTTCAACAAACATGCCTCAAGATGAAGCGGCAAGCGCCGACCAAGCTGAAGTGTCCGGTTTGTGGGAACCTGTTCGAGGGGACGGGCTGCTGGGATGCTAGGATGGAGCATGTGGCAAAGCATTTAGAGTTGCAGGCGGCAGGTAAATGTGTTGTTAGGCAAGGCGATGATGGCCTCTTAGTGGCTTGGGCTTTGAGAGAGGGGATTGTGGAGAAGAAGGGAAGTGGAGGGTATAGGCTTGTAATTGGTAGTGCAGGAAGCAGTGGTGGTGGTGCGGGGAGGAAATCGAGGAATGAGGTTACTGTGGAGGACGATAGAGATGAGGAGGACGCAGAGTGTGAGGATGAATAAGCCTTCAATCTCACTTCACGAAATCACGATTCACGACATGGCGTTCACGGCGGATACAATATACTTTTCACGCAAGCACATACACATACATACGATAAACATTCGCAAGGCTTTCCCATTCTCTTTGCGTCTGGCTTCTCGACTTCGGCGCTGGCTGGCAAGAGATCCACGGGAAGTTACAATACGTCTTGTCGAACTTTTCCGCACCTTTGTTCTTGCAATCGATGATTTACGGCTGCGATGATAGTACAACTACGACAGAGCTTCACTACTGAGAGATAGACTCATGATTGTTTGGGAGATGGCGATGCGGGACGTTGAGATACCACTCTTTGACTACGAGCGTTTTGCCTTGGCTTTGGCTGGCTGGCTATTTGTACTTACTTTCTCATTTGCTGAGCTGAGGTGATAATGCGAGCACCTGGGGTAATTTGCAGGATACGGTATGCTAGCATTACTTAAGTCAGTACGGATGGATGGATTACATAAAATCAGAATGGAGATTTGTAGAAACCATTCCCGCTTTCACTGTGTCGTCTATTCTTTCTGTGATCAAAGATCCCACTTAAGATGACGATACAGGTCTTCACAGCACAAGAAAGTAAACTTTTGAGATACGGAATGTCCTCTTCATTCCTGAGAAAAGATATTATCTAGAAGATCCCTCACAGCATCGCACCGCTCCACTCCCCTCCTACTAGATTTATTCACTCAGTTACTTACGGCAGAACTGTACAATACACTATCACATCTCATCTCCACCTCCATGATCGACACTCACTTATCTCCGTAGATATTCCAGCATACCATACCATGCCATGCCATATCATGCATGTACGAGCTGCTCATCCCGATAGGTTCCCAAACCCACCCCTTGTCTTTCCCCTCGTCCTTCATCTTCCCCTTTCCCTCTCCTGTCCTTCTTCCCTGCCGGAGACTGAACTAACTGCAGGGTTCCAGAGTAGCCCCCAAAGTTAACTCAGCCTCACCGACTTATTTTACTGGATCAGTGGCGGGGAGGGCTCGATGCAATACAACCCACACATCAATCTATAAGCTTAGAATTGAGTTGAGCGGAATGCACATGCGATGCCAGACTTCAGCCCCCACCATGCATGTATATGTGTGCGTGTATCAGCCTCGAGGCAGGGTTGAGATTTTGGGACGGGAAGGGAAGCCTTGAAGGAACTCCTGCATGATGCATACAGTATTGCATATGTGGCGCGGACATGCGGTAGTGTTAAGAAAGAGAAGGAGAAGGAAATATTGATGGTGATGATTATCCTATTAGTGATGAGAGATATGCAGCGGCGGGGAGAGGACGCCGCAAAATGGAGGAGGAAGCGGACGGGAGGCTGGAAATGAGCAGACGCCCGATCTCCCGATCCTTGAGATTTTTGACGCTGGTGTTCTCGAAGCGCTACACTGCAATCCGGGGAGGACTTGTGTGGAAGGTGGTGTGGGCCGTTCCGACGTTTCAGCCCTGTGCAACACACCAACAGGTTTCCTTCTTTCTAGAATAGAAGTGCATTTTGCATCGTTGATCAATTGGGAAAGAAAAAGGAAAAGGAAACAGTCGTGTCAATTCTGCCGTGGGCATGCTGCGGCTGGAGATATTGGGTTGGGCTGGATTGGATCGCGTTGCATTGTGCACTTCTGTATTAGCCAAGGCTAACGAATCAGATCTCGATTCGGATGGGATATGGTCGACCGACTGTGAGGAAGAATCATCTTTTTACTTGACCAAGGATCTCTACTTATTAGACGCGCGTCTGTATGCCTGCCCTAGAATGATATGTCAACCCGCTTTCCATGTTTAAGGTTGACCTTCCCTCCTTTTGCAATGCCTTGCTGACCACCATTTCCTCGCCTCGAGGCTGCAGATATGGCTGCAGACATGATGGGCCGCATGCTGGTGTTGTTTCGTTTTGTTTCGTTTCGTTTCGTTTCGTTTGAAGGACCAAGGCCACTTTGAGGCCACCAACAACACATCCTGCTATGAAGAGCAAGTGAGATCTGATGATGTGGTTAAGTACGATAAGAAGATTACAGGAGAGCGCTTCCACTACCTCCTTATTCGCACTCTCGTGTTCATATGCGGCGTGGCTGTTTCATATATTCGTCTCTTCAGATCGATAGACAGAGAGTGGATGAGAGCTTAGAGATTTATACGGGGAATGAGAATCGCATGCTGTTGCGTTGTGGTTTGTTTCTTTTGGGTTTGAATGTGTGGCTTCGGATGTGGCTGTTTCGAAGGTCAACCCGATGGATTGGAAGCGCTGGGATGAGATTGGCTTGGTTGAAAATGTGGATTATTTTGAAAATAGTGTTGCTGATTCTGGTTTCACTTGGTCTGGCCTTTCTAATATGTTTGCCTTAAGCTTTGTGCTGTTGTATTTCTGGGGATCTTTCCTGCCAGGGCTGGCTTTCGTTGATTGAAGATGGCGTGGGTGGACAGCGAGACGAAGCCTCGGATTGCCTCCTATGAAGACAGAGCCCAGGAGTAAAATAGCGAACTCTATTCCTAGGCTGACGAATCATGGCTCAATCATCACTTAACGAGCCCAGCAAAGATTGTACGAAAGTACCCTACAACAAATGAGTGTTTACTCAGTAGGACTCGCTTACTTCAGACACAAGGGACTTCCTTCCCGGAACTCAGAGTCAAGGGATCAATCAGATAAAAGTCAGTCACTGGTAGTTTCCATTAATAGAACCGTCTCTTCAGAACATTCTAACAACGAAACCTCATCAAGAATGCAAGAACAAAGACCTTCATTCCCCATCGGAGATAAGCGCCCCCACTATTCTCCTCACTTCGCCTCCATCTTGCCCCACCACTGACTAAGCGATCCAATCCTCGCACTTTCAGGGCCACATTCTACTATGCCCTACTAGTAACCAAATAAGAACGTTCCAGCATCAACCAAGCGGCTTTAGCTCACTTGGGAGAGCGCCAGACTGAAGTCAACTTCAGATCATTGAAATCTGGAGGCACTGTGTTCGATCCACAGAAGCCGCAAATCTGCGGGTCTCAGACCACTGAGATCATTCGAACATTCTTTTTGTATTTTTCTCCTGAATGCCAGGATAGTGAGTGACTGGGTGCTCAGAGAGGACTGACTGACTGTTGGATTTTTCTTTACCCATCGGGCTGGCTTCCGAGGGCGCTCTTCAATTGATCCTTGCGATTGAATTTTTTTTTTTTTTTTGGAACGATTTAATCCTGTCTGTGTTTGTGTGGGGCACTTCAGTGAGTTCTGCTAGTCGGCAAGCCTAGCCGGAGCCCCTATATTTAGCGAGGCTGGAAGCAAACAAACCTGTCTTCCTTCATTATGTCAGTAAGCCAATCGGGAAAGCTGCTGGCACTTGGTGTGAGCATATTTTTAATTGCCACTTACTGTACTATATTACAGCAAAGACGGTTGAAAGAAAGCCATCATGGGAACTCATGGCTAACCTTCATGGCAAGAACAAAGCGGGTCTTGTCCCGATGAGCATCACTTGCCGATACACAAAGGATGAGCTGGTTTGCTCCTAGATTCTTGGCTGGGCTTTGAATTGATGATGGATAGATACAAGCCGATAATTATTAAGAGTCTGTTTTGGAGATCACTGATCGTATTTTAGTGCACAAAGAGCTCTCCAGTTATTGGAATTCGTTGTTTCCAAAAATAACATCCTGTCAACAACAAACCAGCATAAGTCAGGCTTATCCTGCAAGAAACTCCTCTAACATTAGTTCCCACCATGTAAATACGCACGAAAACACAAAAATCCAAACGAATATGCTGAGTACATGAAAACTATCAACATGAAATACACAACCACCTTCACTGCAGCTGCTATCTTCGCGACATCTGCCTCCGCAGCAGCCATCGCCGTCTCCAACGCCGCGAATATCGCATCCACCACACCCTTGGCAGCCCTAAATCCACGCTCCGCCAGTGAGCCACTCGTAATCATCGGCAGACCTGCTCCACTACTCCTCATCGCTTGCGCGGATCCGAAATTCCTAGGCCTATGCGAATCCTTGCCAGCTGTAGAGCTCGAATGCTGTGAGTATCTTCAACCTCTCAACTTCCAAATAACTCCCTATTGGTTGCTTCTATTCATGTGCTGACGTATGATTCGCTGTATAGTCAACTTGCCGGAGTATTTTCGCAACACGATCACTGCCGTTGACACTAGAATTGGACCAAAAGGTGGAGTTCAGACATGCACACTCTACTCGTAAGTTTGTCTTGCTTTAGTTCACCCTCTACTGTAATGATCTGGTACAATGGCTAATATGTGAACAGGGAGCTTGGAGGTGGAGGCAAATCGCAGGCTTTCACGAACACGAGAGTGGACGATTTGAGACCCTTCGGCATGGATGATGTGGCGAAGAGCTATATGTGTGAGCAAGAATGGTTTGAACTACCTTCAGGGGAGAAATAGAGCTCAGACGAGCGTACTCATGAAATCGTCAAGGCTACAGGCTCTGATCATTTGTGATTTTGGGGATATTCCTCCAATTCACAACACAGCGCATAAGTCTACCATCAGTCATTCCCAATCATCACAATTTTCTCTTCTTGTACATATATTACACATATATCTAGGCGACATACGCTCATTAAATACAATATACACACTTCCAAGCACGGAAGAAATCTGATTCGACCACGACATTGATCCTTTCAGTGATGAGTTGTCAGGCGCTTCTATCGTCTTGACAAGATCAAACTGCTCCTCAGAGGCACGAGTGGCTAGTTATTATACAGCAATGACGAGCAAAGTTCTCGTTTTGAACCTTTGGTTCTCTCCAAAATTTACTGATGGTCCTAGCAATGTTTCAATCCAGAGCTTATTCCTTACAATCCCCAAATCAGCTAGGTATAATTATTTCTCTGTCTCAATTGATTCCAACTTCTGTTACTGCAAATACCACGAGAGATGTGACTTCTATTGCCTGGATTTTATATCCGTACGATCGCCTTCCTGTTGATCATTTGAAGATCCCTTCTTATTACGTATCAAATTTTTCTGCTACAGCTAATCAGCGGAGATTATACGATTTCTGATAGGTATAAGAAGCTCTTTACAAAAATCAAATTACCCGAAGATCCACGGGGTTTGATCATTCGTCATGCAGCAATTGCGGCATGCAAACTACGAAGGATCGCCACGCGGGGTAGGAATTCAATGGACGTCATGCAGCAATTGTGGCATGCAAACTATGAAGGATCGCCACGCGGGGTAGGAATTCAATGGAAGGTACTCCCACACTTTACCATCAGCATACAGCATTTCGGGAGTTCGACCACTTACAAGACAAACTTGAAGTTTCCCGCCATCACATGTGTTTGAGTTATCAAATGATAATGAAGTCAGGCCGTGGGTGACGCAACGTCGTGAGCACAATCCCTGCGATTAATCAGGACTGTCTGACATCATTAGTGAAGTCATCCAGAATCTTTCTTTCATTCCCCTTATAAACACCAATTTTCTCTCTCCGTTCAAGAGTTTCTTTCTGCCGTAAAAGTTCTCAGATAATTAATTTCAGAAATATCAACAGCTCAAACTCCAACATGTCAGACGGATTATACAGGAGAACCGATTCACCACAGAGGGTGCACAATGACCGCGCAAACTCCGAGTGGAGGTCTAAATCCGGCCTTGAAAATCTAGTTCATGGTGCAGACCGGCCGGTAAGTCCATCAAGTCCAATATTCCTCACTATGACCTTTGCTGATAAGGTACTGTCGTAGGGTTCTCAGGTTGATCGGTCGGCTAAAGCAGCGCCACTTCCAGAGGTAGATTTCCATGACCATCTTGCAAGTGGCGACGGAAGCCGAGGAATTAAGGGTTGGACGGGTGATGGCAAGGGAGCACCGAATCCTGAGGAATACGTACCGAAGAGATTGCATAAGGAAGGCATTCTATGAATGATTTGGTTGTGTATTTGTCGTAGTGCTCGACAGTTATCAAAGACCATTTGATCGTGAGTATTTGAAGCAAGTATTTCGCCGTTATCAATCATACTGGCAAGAAGAGTTGCGGAAACCGCGTGGTGGAATCAACATCGCGTTTTATCTTTCCCAATGAGTCCTTCTCTGATTGAGCTATTCTCGTGTACAGAGCCTGATGACACTTTCGATACTCAAAAGTGTAGAGATGACATGGAAATTGCTAGTTAAGAGACACTTCTACCGAGACTCTCTTGTGTTATTCGACTCAAATGACATCGCTCCCGACCATCCGCTGTTCCCCCATCCATAACCCCAGGAAGAAAATGTATTTGATTCATCTTGTTCTAAAGCGCAATTCCTTCCACCTAAAGGAAGAAATGTACGGGTTTCAGACCCTGACATCGCGGCAGATCTACATTTACGAGTTTGACTGACTGCACAGTGCATCATAGACTGTGAATGCCGATAATAGATAGACTATATAGCTGCATGAGTAAACTTTCAGGTCAATGTTGTCTTACCCTGGAGTCAACAACCGCAGAAACTGCTTTTGGGAGTTTCGATACCTTAGTATATACCTTCAATTTCCAGCATCACTTCGAAAGCGATCAGTAATTGTATGCTCAAGACTTCTTTTCTGGCTGTGACCGATTGCAGAACACCTCCAGGATTACTTGGGAGAAATCATTCATGGGGAGGAATCATTCATTGGGAAGAATTTTGTCATTAGGAGGAATCGTTTCATGAGGAGGAGTCATTCGTTGGGAAGAATTATTTTAGTATACTATTAGTTCCATGGCCCGGTGGTACCAACACGAAACTCGATACTTTGTCTATCTATCAGATGTTCTCAACCCCCTTAGGCGCCAATACTAAGTTCAATCTAAAGTTAAAAGGTTTAGAATTTCTGAAAGTAGATGGTTCACTTGAGGATAAGGGCTCTAGTGGTTTCTTGCCCCTCCAGCAGCGGGGAATAAAAAAACAGCGGGATCGAAAGACATAAGGACACTGCTTTCTGACTGAGAAGGGACGATATCTAGATCACGGATGAGGTGGTCAAGCCAGCGGCAAGGAATTATACTTGTGGCAATGAGCTAAACTTGTGCTTGAAGTAAATAATATTTCCAATCAACGGCCACGCAGGAGCTCGGCTTCACTACTCCTCATAAGATACCAATGCATACATAATAACCCAAATCCAACGTTGCACAAGTCGATCTAACAGCCGGGTTCCAAAGATAAAAGTTGGCAAGATTGATGCCGGCAGAGGTAGCCACAGTACCACACTCGTCTCCGCTCACAACAAAGTGAAACTTATTACAATTCACTGCCATGCCCGTTTGGTAAGGGGTCGGGAAAGGGCAAGAACTGAAACAAGCAAGATCGTAGAGGCTATATGCATTCACTCCACTAGTATTGACCACATACGACGTTGTTCCATAGTGCAGGTTGCAGGAGGTGCCATTGACGAAGTATACATTTGTACAGGTCGAAGTCGAGAAGCATTCCGATGCACAGGCTTGAATACTGGTAACATAAAGACTCTCCGAAGCGCCCGTGTATGCAGTAAGCAGGCCCGTTCCCGTAAGTGCCTTTGCGTCGGCCTGTACATTACATACAGCGCCGGACGGCGTCGGCGATTTTAGATAGGAATCGGTGAAGCAGGACACGTTGTAGATGCTATAAGCATTCACACCACTGTCGTTGATCACGTATGACAGCTTTCCGTAGTGTAAGTTGCAGCTACTTCCGGCAACGAAATATACGTTTGTGCAGGTAGCGGTTGCAATGCATTGTGCACCACACGCTTCGACGCCGAGAACGAAGGGGCTTCCGGAGGTGTACGCAGTAAGGAGACCGGTGCCTGTAAGGGCCACGGCATCACCCAAAGTACCGCATACGACTCCGTATGGTGCTGGCGATGCTATTGCGACACCTGCAGTGCACTGTTCATAATGGCCAGTTTATTTTCGCCAACACTCGGGGAGACGAGGTGGGGTAATAAAACGCCGCAGGAGGAATTACAATATTTGTTTCAGAGGACGAGGACAAAGAAGTCGGAAGAGAG